CACTGAGTATATAGAAAACCCTATTAGGTACAAAGGTAAATAGTTTCCCTCACTCTCTTTCTTTTAGATTCTAAGCTAAAAAATAATGTCCCTCCACGAAAAATCTTTGGAAAAACATTGTCAAGCGAGATTTATAAACCTGTTTCAAATGAAGAAGGCGATGACGAAATTAGTACGCACCGTAAAACACTTCTTGTGGTCAAATGTATCTTTTACTAAAAATGGAAGCAATGACAATTTTCCATTGAAAAAAACCTTCACTTAAAATAGTTATTAATGACTTTCGAGAGAAAAATTACTAGTTTTGACTTTATATAATATCTCAAAATAATGTCTAATACAATTTTACTTTATTGAACATAATTTATTTTTCGGATTATTATTTATTTTCTCATTTGACTTTATTTATTGTCATAATTTTCTTTATCATAATTAAATTAGAAATTAATAATATGGGAGAATTTTAAAAGAAACTCAAAAAATTCCTATGAATGTATTTAAAAGCTTGACTTTAAAATTAATAAATATAAATGCGACAATGTAGTATGAGCTGATTCATCATATAACTTTCCTCGCACGTATAATGTCTGCAATAGAAGATAAAAGGTATATTATTAAGTTGCAACAACTTCAAGAGTTGAAAATCAGGATAAATAGTTCCTCGGTAATTGGTTTTTCTCGCGAGACATTCTATCAGCAAAAGTAAATCTCTTGGAAAACGAGTTTAAAATTTTTTTTTCGATTCTATAAACTAATTTCAAATCAACGTCATCTTTATAATGAAACAGAATATAAAAAATGTATAGATGATCTAAACTGGTGTACCATCTTAAACAGTAAATAAAATTATTCCACTAAAACAAATTTCTGAGTTAATTCTAGTTTTTTAGGATCATTCAGAAAAAAATTTGTTTAAAACAACCAAAATAAATGTTTGGTTCATTTTTGTAAATTTTACATTCAGAGAAGGAATTTAATCATCTGAAGTGAATTTTTAGTTAATCCAAACAAATCTTTGGTTAAAACCGTAAAAAAAATAATAATCCCAAAAGCAACTAAACTTATGGAGCAATTTTCTCAATGTTGTTGCAAATTTAAATGCTGTGAAATGATTTTACTTTTTCTTAGTATAAAACAAAAACAATCTTTCAATATTGAAGATTCGACAGCAAAACAAAACAAAAACTAATATAATTGCCGTTTGATTCCAAAAATAGAAATGAATGAATATTACTTAAATTATTCCAAGAGTTTGAAAAATAAAAAACCGACGCTAAAGGAGACGACGAAAAGAATGTAATATTAAAAATAGACTAACCTCAAAGTGTCTAGACTAAAAAACAAAAAGCGAAAATCTGATATTAGAATTTCACGTCGTACCTTGTAAAAAACCCAGTCTCTGTAAATTTACAAATTGGAAAATCGAAAACTTTCAAATGTTTATAACAAAAAACAAATAATATACACAACTGTTTATAAAAATGCACTTCAAATTTAAATTTTACATGCATTGAATCAAATGAATCAATTAAATTCTTTTAATGATCCTAAAGTTCAGAACCTTCTTTTTTGTCTTCTTTAAATTATATTATTTTTTTGTGACACTATAAAAACAAATTAGTTATAAAAATTCTAAATTTAAAATAAGTTTTTAAATTTTATTGCAAATAAAAAGATTTTTAAATCTTTGTAATAAAAATATTTCGTTCATTTGAAAGGTTCAGAACTTGAAAATTGAAAAATTGAAAAGTAGAAAATTTTGAGTTGATTTATAACTGTTGTTCCGATTATTGTTAATCGTATTCTTTCCCAAGAGTTAATGAACCAGAATTGACTAATTTATTAAGTGAAAAAGGTTACTCATTATCAATGAAATTCATCTACTGGTAATCAATGAATAATTAATAGCCAATCAGTCATATTTCACTGAAGAAATAAGGAAAAGTCGTATAAACGAAAAATTATTAAAAAGTAGTCAAATGTCATTGATGAGAGAAATTTTAAACGAACAAGTAAGTAAATTCCTAAAATTTATATTGTAAAGAGCCACAGTTTTTCTAAGAATATCAAATTGAGACAAAAAAACGTATCAAAACGTTGCTTTGCAACACTTTTAATACGTTTTTTGTCTCAATTTGATATCCTTAGAAAAACTTTGGGGTTAAAGTTGATTTTTCCATTCGAACTCTGCAGTTTTTCTGAAAGACATCCAATTGGTAACAAATCGGATTAAAATGGTTAATAAAAACTTGGATCTAATTATGATTCGATCTACATTTTTGGTATCAATTCGTTTCAAGTAGATGATTTCAACTAATTCAAGTTAATTGTATTTTTAAAAATCGCATCGACTTTGACATCCCCTTAAACTTAGACAGCAAAAAATGAATCTCCTACCTTTGGTCCACTTTTGACTAAATAACCGATTAGAATCATTTTTGACTGAATGTTTCCCTTTAGGGTTTAATTTTAGATTCTAACATTGCCTTATAATATATAGTTTCAAGCTTTAAAATGTTCCATTTTTCAATTATTTTAGTTTTAAGATATAAACTATTTCAGCCTTTCTTATTTCATTAACCACTATTATCTTAAAAATATCAAATAGCAACAAAATGATACCAAAAATGTGGATCAAATAAAAAATTAAGGGTCCTAATCAAAGAACGAGTTTAGTTTTTGAGACTCAGAATTCTGGACCTCTAAGTAAAAAAAGGATTTAAAATTTCAATTTCTTGAAAAAATTTCGTATTTATAGAAAGACTTACCAAAATGTTTCTCAAAAAATTGGGATTAAAAACAGTTTAATTTTTGACTTGCAGGGCAATGATTTTGAGCTTAAATAGATTATAACCGGCTCTTTGTTTGGGACTCTCAATTGATCTAAATTTTCGGTATCAATTTGATACATTTCAGCATCAATTTGATACTTTCAAGAAAACTGCAAAGTTTTTAAACTTCACATAGAAAAAGCAAAGTCTCAAACCATTTACATCTTAAAACCAAAATGATTGAAAAGTATCCTATTTTTAAGCTTAATACTGGATTAGGTTAACGTTAGGAGTTAAAATAATACTTTCAAAGTTAAAATTCAATCAAAAATGTTTCTAATCTAAACGGTTTTAGTCAAAAGCGGACTGAAAGTAAGATTTATTTTTTAGTCCAGCCTCGTTCTATTTCGTGAAAATAGTCTATACATTGCAAAAAGAAGCATAATCTTAAAATGAGACGCAAAATAGGAAAATGGTTGCTTACATTTTAAAATTTGTTTTCTAACGTATCTTATTGATACTTAAGATGCTTTACACGTTGTAACAGTTATTTAAACATTTCTTCCATCTTAGAAAAGTAAGTTACTTCGTCAAGTTTTTTAAAGTATCTGACGCTGAAAACTTTTTTTCTAAAAATTCAACTACTTTGGGTGGTAATGTGAAAAGTAGTTAAATTAATTACTTTTTACTTAATCTTCTACTGCTTGTATAATTTTACTGATTCTTTAGTTAAAAATTTAGAATTCAGTTAACTATGAAATGTATAGTTAATACAAGTTTTTTAATTTGTTTGGCGACTTATTGAACTAAGCAAAGTAATTTAACTACTTTTTAACTGTTAAAATTAGTCAAATCTACTAGGAAATTTTTTCAGTGTGAAATTAAGATGTTTCTGGAATAATAAGATGTTTAGCGATAAGATACTTGTGAATCATAAGATGCGCCAAAAATTTTGGTTAAACTAAAAACTAAGATACATAAAGTATTTCACATATGTGCCCCCATAGTTGACCTCTAATTTTTTTCCCTAAAAAATATGCTCAAAATGTGTAAAGCATTGCTGGGAAGATACTTTTAACATCCTAATCACACTTTTATTGAAGGTGCCAAAACACTTTAAAATCAATCTAATATTTTCAAACAAAACATCTCAAATCTTAAATGTTTTAAATCTCTTAATGTTTTATCAAAACATCTTAAATTAAGATACTTCTTTTTGCAGTGTACTTCAAAATCATTTTCACTTTAAGATCTAAGCAGTTTCAGCGATTTTTTTTCCTCAACTTATGTTACATTAAATAAAGTTGTTAATTATATTATAGACCTTTTTTATAATAGTTGGAATTTTGTTGTGGCCTTTGTTTCAAGAAATTACAAGTCTTATGATGGTATTGTCAGAAATCTAATCTTACGTTACCAACATTGTAAATTTATCACCACGTGACTTACATTTCGGCGAAATTGAATACTTCCAAATAGTGAATTTCAACTTATCGGAAAGTAAGTCCATCTTCTTCGACTTTGGCATTTTTTACAAGGCACATTCATTTAAAGTTCGGTTATCAATTTTTTCCATGTACAACAAAAATTAGGATGCTGTTAGGTTACTTTTTCTCTGGTCCAAAAAAAAAACTTGAAGGCACTAACCTTCAAAAGTTTTTTTTCTCATTTTTTTCCATCAATTCAATTTTGAGTCGCAAATATCAAAAGCCGAAAAAAATCTCTCGCAACAGAGTATATAGTATGTCATGCGTCATACATTTAAGAATTCCGTCATCTTTTAACATCTTTAATAGTTACAGAGAGACGAGATAATATCCAACCAGTTCTAGCTCCAGGGAACTTGTTCTCTCTCTCTCTCTCTCTTTTTCTCTCTTTCTTGACTCGGAAATTCTTCAGATTCTATTCACTGCACATATTCTCTACATTTGGCAAAGTCACACACACACTAAAATTCACAACACCTTTTAAACACTTTTTTTTTGCTAATCGTTGTCATTTTCCCCTCCCCCAATAAATATAACGACGATATTCAGAATTCGTAATATTGTAGTCAACTCAATTCCCCCTGCGTATAATAGTTTTAATTTAAACCCGACAAAACGATCCAAATAGCCAAGGTCACACGCAATTACACCAATTCACGTTGACTCGACTCTCCACGTTTTATATAAATACAGAAAAAATTAAGCTACAAGGCGAATTTATTAGTTGATTAATGTTGCTTACCTTCGTCAAGTAGGCGTTCTACGTGTATGAAGACATTAGGGAAAGCAGCTAACTGCTTCCTGTCTTTTAGTAACTGTGACAGGTAGTCCGCTATACTTTGCGTCGTTGTGTTAGTATTATCACACATTGCAAATTGCTTTGGGTGCACGCGCGATTATAATAAATTCTCGATTTTTAGTCGACACTACCGTTCTTCAAAACGGATTATTTGCTTTTAATTTGCGTTAAAAACACGATTAATGATCGAACACTGTATTGTTTAACAGACATAGAATTCAAGTTGTGCAAAAAATAAAGAACGTGATAGCTACACGTTGTTGCCGGCCTTTTGTTGATATTACAATTCGCGAACGAGTGTGAGGGGGTGTGTGTGTGGGTGGGGGGAAAAAATGTGAGTGAGTAAGAGAGACACTGTGTGCGTATATAAACAAGAGAGATAATTAAAAAGTAAATGAGAGGAATAAAAATGAGAGTAAAATCCCTCCTCTCGTGTTACACTTTGAATTAACAGGGGGGGTTTAAAGAAACTCAAAAATTCTTATTTTTTTGGAACAAAATTGTCTGAGTGTATAAGTACGCACGCTACAAGACTCTCGGCTCTACTGTGGTCACTGTCACGGCATGTACGTTGCGACAACGACGACTGTTTGCTAGGAATGCTTTGGTGCCATCTGGTGCGCATGTGTAGAAGCTAAATGACGCATGCGCCGTAATCGAGTGGCGAAGAGAGACTTCACTCACTTCCCCTCACACTGCTAAACTGCTTCCGCCCACTACCATATACGGCCTCTGCATACTCGCGAGAGCACCGAGTATGCACTGTATTTACCAATACTGAGACAAACAATATGTACAACTACCATATAACCATAATGTTCGTGTATACAGTTCAGTTTCTTCACTAATAAACCAATACCAGTTTATTATTCACGTCTCCCTCAAAGTTCTCTCTCCGATCAACCTGTAAATGCATTCCCTCGATTTTCGTTAAGAAACAAGTTGAACACCATTTTGTTTCGTATTTTTTTTTTATCATTTTATTTATAAATGAGTTTTTCAACTCCCTGTACTTCAAATGAAAATAAATGTGATAAACACTGATTTTCAAATCTAAAATCTATTTCTGTTGGGAATTTTTAATCTGTATTCAATAGTCTTCGAGATTGTAGTGCATGCCCTTAAGATAGAACATTCGGTATTTTAGGGAACTAACCTATCTTCAGCTCTGCTGGTAAAAAATAACTAACTACTTTTGTACACCCTTAAAGTTAGATGACCATTTTTAAAATATTTTTCATTACGAACATAACCTTATATTTTTTACTTCTTAGTAAAGTGAAGAAAGGTACTTATAAGTATCTTTCTTCACTGTAATAACAAGGTCTTAAAGAAATTACAGTTCACAAAAATATTACTGCGACAAAAATATAACCAAACCAAATCAAATAAGTGAACATTTTACTTAAAACCATTAATTAAACGCGTTTTTATAATAAATTAAAGATGACCAAGTGATAAAATCATTATTTTATATTATAAAAATATTGCTACTGTAACTTCTTTAAAATTAAATTTACCATTTCAATTCAATTATTATTTTCTACAATTTTTAACTAAAATTCCTCTATAAATAAATTATTTTTAATAATTTTTGAAAAAGTTCTTCGAGAATTTTCAAATCCATTTGTTTACAATACAATTTTACGTAAAATTTCGAGTATTTGGAAATTCTTCAATTAAATATATATTAAAAAATAACAACTTCAAAAACAAAAAATTCAATTACACCTTTTCAAAAAAATTAATTTCACAGAATTGTTAGTTAAAATGATGAAAAATTTAAATTTTCAAAGATTTTAATTTGAAACCTTTTCAGAATTCAATTATTATCTACAATTTTAACTAAAATTCATTTTTAAATCAATTTTTATTAAAAAATTCTACGAGAATTCAATTATTTAAATACAAAAATTAATAACATTATGAATAATTGAATGTTTCTTTAAATTGAATTATCATACAGAATTTTATTAACAAATTTATAAATAATTGAATTCTCTTGACGAATTTTAAACAAATTTTTAAGAATTACATTTTTTGAGGAATTCGATTAAAATTATTGTATTCAAAATAATTGAATTCTTGTGAACTTTTAAGTATGTTATGAAAATAATTACATGTTCGCGTAGAATTTTATTTAATTATTATTTATTCAATTATTTTTTTTAAATAATTAAAATTCTTTTGGAAATTTTTATTAAAATAGTAAGTTATTGAAAATCATTGAATTGAGGAAAATTTTTGATAGTAATTTAAATTTTGCCAAAGAATTTTATTAAAATTTTTGAAAATAATTGAATTTTGGAGAAGAATTTTATTATTTGTGAAAATAATGGAACTATTGGGAAGAAGTCTATAAAAAAAAATTTGTAAATAATTGAATTCTTGTAAAATTTTAAGTATTTTATAAAAATAATAAAATGTTTGCCTAACATTTTATTAAAATATTGAAAATCATTGAATTGAAGAAAATTTTTGAAAACAATAGAAATTTTGCCGTGAAATTGATCAAAATTTTTAAAAATAATTAAATTTATATGAAAAATTTCATTAAAAATTTTAAAAATAATTGAATTTTAGCGAAGAATTTTTAAAAAATCATTTTAAATAATTGATTTTGATAAATTAATTAATTAATTTTAATAAATTTTAATAAATAATCGAATTTTAGCGAAGAATTTTTAAAAAATCATTTTAAAAAATTGATCTTGATAAATTAATTAATTAATTTTAATAAATTTTAATAAATAATTGAATTTTAGCGAAGAATTTTTAACAAACCATTTTAAATAATTGATTTTTTTCGAAAAATTTTATAAAAATTGTGTTTGAAAATAATAAAGTTCATGTGAAAATTTGTTATTTATGAAAATAATTGAATTCCTAAAAAGAATTTTATTATTTTTGAAAATAATTGAATTCCTGTAAAAATTTTATATGTATTTGTTACTAAGATAGTAAAATTACTACTAAAATAACAACTTCCTATTTAGAATTAAAGTAAAATGCATTTGTATTCTCAAAGAATAAATAAACACGAAAACTATTATCCCAATTTTTTCCAATTTCTGCGCCTAATCCCTAAACATTTACAACTCAATCCAGAAAAACTCTGCGGTAATTTATACCAAATCAATGCAATAAAAAACAAATTTCAAAAACACTTAAATAAATTTACGAAACACGCCTATAATAATCATCAAGCACGTCAGATATTTTGTTTAATAAACAAAATTTTATCTCTTGTAAATTGCAACAAAAATTGCATAAAATGTGACAAATTCAAATATTTATTTAAATGACCAAATACGTATCATTTTATGATGATAGTGATCGTAAAATTATTTTCAAAACATATTTTATAGTCAATATACAAATATAAGTATGTATATAATATGTTCCGGGAGTTGAATCACAGAAACTGGTACATTTCTAGAGAAAGTTAAAAGAATCAAAACAATCTTATATGTGTATTGAATTTATAAGACCTGTATTTTGTAACCTCAATATAAAGAACTACATTAAAACTGCAGAATGATTTGTCATCATTCAAATATTATTGAATTAAGACTGAAGATATTTTTAAAGAAGAAAATTGGGACAAAACTGAAAAAAGGGTGGATCTCGGGGTGGATTTCCCTTCAAGTGACGATTTTTAGTATTTTCTTTTATAGTTATTTTAGAAGTCAGGTTAATTATCTAATTACACGTATTATACAATCCTATCTCTCTCTCTTAATTGCACACTTTGGTACCATAGGTAACGCGAGATTCCTTTTTAGTTAATTAGCATTTCATGGCCCAAGTAGCGTGAAAAGCACGTGAGTACTGGAAATAGTTGGAAATACTTTGGAGACGGCCTCCAACAACTTTAACATAATGTGAAAGTGCTCTTCCGTGTTTGGCGACGAGTGAAGTTTAAAAGGGATTTTAACATCGCTTGAATAACAAGCGTCATATTACTTTTTTCCGGTTACAAACATTCCTTTTTTTTCCTCAAAAAAAAAAAAAAAAAATTCATCCGTAAAAGCACCAAATCAAAATTCAGAAATCTAATACCCAACAATCATGAAAACAGAGATTGAAAAATTAAAAGCAAGAGATCAATTACTGATTATATCGGTCACTAACATAATTCGCATGTTATTGAATTGCTATAAATAAAATTGAGACATCTTCGCAGGATGCTTGTAATCAAGAGACTCCTTTTTGACATTCGTATTGTGAAAGTGTGTATATATGATGGTATGTGCGTAGGATAAAGTGGGAAGGTAGTTCAGCAATAAGTATGCGAACGAAATTTCAATCGTAACACTGGGTTGTTCTTTTAACAATAGAATTGTTTCATTATAAAAGACGATTGCGCAATAATTATATTTAATGACGTAGAAAATTAGACGTTTAGGATTATTCAGGCAAGACCAAAGTGTATCATGTTTTTCAACAATACATCATGAGAAGAAAGGTTTGTCACTATTAGACTAAATATTTTTTCAACACATATTACAATTTTTCTCATGAATTCCAGATTTTAGTGTGTCAATATTGTCGCAATGAGCTGAACTACACGAAAATGTATAGTTAATTCATTCATAAAAAGGAAGGAGAAACAAAAGAAGTCTAAAAAGACTTCTTCTTAGACTTCTTTGAAGTCAAAGGCAAAGTCGAAGACGAGGAAGAAGATGAAGAAGAAGAAAAATAAGAACCAGACGAAGAAGAAAATTTCAAAATAGTAAACTAATATAAGTAGAAATTTACATGACTGTATTTCCTATCAAGTGTTATTTGAAGAATAATACATCTTTAAATGTGAAAGATATGATGATGCTGTTATTTTTACACCTTTCAGTTAATTTACAGATTACATCAACGTCGAACGATGTCACTGCGACCAACTATGAGAGTTTTCTAGAATGTATAATTAATAATACGTTTCCTGTTTCATAAACTTTTTTTTAAACATTCCAATAAAGTCAAAAAATTCAATTATGCACTCCCTAAATAAAAAGTAACTCTTAATTTAAGAACAATCTTAAATATTCAGCACTGTTTGCCTCAATGTTAAATCCTCCAAAGTCCATTACGCAAATTCAGCATTGACTGTTTTCAAATTGTTGCATCTTAAAAGACATTCTTTTTACTCTTTAAATTTGGATCAGTTAAAAATCATATAGTTTTAACTGACAATCAGTGACTATAACTATTTACTTCTGAATATGAGAAAAGTAAAAAAAAATACTAACATGAAAAATTTTCGACCAAAATTCTTTGCCTTGATCAGAAATTAAAGAAGGTTAAAAGCGCTTTAATTTGTGACCATTGCTAATTCAGGGTTGCCACAAAAATTTAACTTTTATTTTTCCCTGATTTCCAGACAGAACTTTGACTTTCTCCCTGACCCTAAAGAATATTCTGATTAACTCTAAAAATTATTAGATACTGAGAAAAATGTTCTAATACATTTATTTACAAATTTCTTCAAAAGTAAAATTATTCAAAAACATCAATAGTTTTATTTCAAATAAATATTTAATTATTATTTTTAAATAGCAATTGAATTTTTCAAAAATTTCGAATTCAAACCTTTTAAAACTGAACACCTAATAAG